CCTAATTTTAAAAATCAAAGTATATATTCACCTGATAAATTGTACTGGTCAAAATCACAAAAAGCTAAAATAATTATATTCCTCCTCGCACATAGCATAGGTCTCACTCTGATATGGCACTGCAGTGCATATGGAGAGTGACAGTGAAACTGAATTGCTCCAGTGACTTCTGAAGAAGAGCGCTTGCTTCCTTTGAAATACATGAATGGACCACCACGTCCAAAGCCTATCGTGCACATTCCTTTGGGTCATTCAAGACAGCGTGTCAACAGCTCAGTGCCTTTTCTTTTTCTTAAAACAATTTGAGGTAGTATATGTCATATTGTCTTTAAAATTTACAGCTATTATTTCACTCCTAATAATTTCCACAAAAAGCTTTAAATTTGTTTGGACATAAATATTAAGTGTGGTTTAAATGTTTTTGCATGATCAAATATTTCAGTTCAAATATTTGTTTTAATGGAATTTAGAATTAATACCAGTACTTCAAAAATGTTCTCTAAATATAAATCAAAGCAGACATGTTAAATCAGATCACGCTCCAGTTCAGCCACTGGATAATTTTCCAGAACTTCACTGTTCATGTGACAAAAGTTACCTGGCATACTTTCTTCTCCAAGACATGATGCTCATGAGCTCCTTCCACCTCAAAATCTCCTCAGACCCACAGAAGTGGAAACATTACAATAAGACCCTGATGACTACTGCTTGGTTCCACTGCCATTTCTCAGAGGGGTTTGCTAGATTCACCAGATCAAAACTCCATACTATTTTCTACGGTATCATGACGAGCTAAAACTTGTTCAGATAAAAGATCTGACAATGTCTACAAGTACTGACAATCACAACTTGCATGACAGTTTATGACCATGCCTTTTGCCGGAAATTCAAGTCAAGGATAGTTAAAAATTCCCGCAATACGTGCTTGTTAATGAAGGGAAATTCCCGAAAATCGGCTTCAGGGGAAAATATCATTTTATTGGAGACATGACTTATTAAAACATAGAAACCATTTTAAATAATCCAGCTAAAAAGTCACACTCATTTGTGCTTAAGAAACAAGACACTGTGACGCAACAGTCACATTGACGGCATCACATAAAATTTAGGCTCCATCAACTGAATCAGTACCTTGAAAGATTTCGTCGGATTAAATTGTTAACTCAGGTCCCGTTGCTCTCCCCCTCCTCCACAGATAATAAGAGTTCAGTTGGAGAGTCTTCCTTTTTTCCCTTAGCTTCCTACCCACCTGGTTTTTAGCGACAACGCTTACTATAATCACTTTCTAGTTTACTCATTTCCTGGAGGTCAGTGTTACACTCAGGGGGTGGATATCTTTGAGACCACCTCTCCCCATAAGAGCCCCTTGAACATTGTGTTCTGTCGATCAACATCTCCTGGTAGTCCCTGGCCCCTGCCTGGTGGAAGAGCTACTGTATGAGATCAGGGCCCTGCGGGATCTATTACAGTTCTGCAGGGCCTGCAAGACAGAGCTCTTCCACCAGGCCTTTTAGTTGAGGCAGCGGGCTTCCATTCTGATAAGGCCTATCCCCCAGTGACCAAAGTTCCTGGAAGCCAGACGAGGACCACACTATCTACTGTTGAGGCGCGTTGTTGTTTTAAAGGCTGCTGATTTTAGTAATTAAGGCTGATTTTATGGATTTTGATTATTGTAATATGTTTTAATCTGTAAATCTGCATTAATTGCAGATATATATATCTGTTGGTATCTGCCCTGAGCCTACAATGTGGGGAGGGCAGGATATAAGTCTAATGAAATAAATAAATATGTGGATTTAAGGATATTTGTATTTATGGTGGTGCTACTGAGAATCTGGTAATCTGAAAATCGTTTCTTTTGTTTTTATATTAGTTCTTTAAAAAATCATCTAGGCTACCTTGGGACCTACTTTGCTCTAAACTAAATCATCATCATCATCATCATCCACATTTTTATCCCACCCTTCCTCCAAGGACCTCCAGACAGCTTGCTCTCACTCTCATTTTATATGTTCGCAAAAACTCTGTGAGGCAGAGAAGGGTAAAAAACAATGAGACTCACAGCCAAGTGGCTCCAGTTGCAGCCTGATACACTGACAGCGAACTGGCGCGGTGTAGCGGTTACAGAGGAATTGATGGACTACCTGTTCTGGCCTGGATAGCCCAGGCTAGCCCAATCCCGTCAGATCTGAGAAGCTAAGCAGGATCAGCCTCGGCTAGTATTTGGAAGGGCGACCTCCAAGGAATACCAGGGCTGTGACACAGAGGCAGACAATGGCAAATCACCTCTGAAATGTCTCTTGCCTTAAAAACAAGCCCAGCTTGCTACCTAGTGGTGCGTAAAACTATAAGAGTTAGAAGTTCTGGCTGCCAGACAATCATAGGACCTTCTGGCTAGTCTACACACAATGCCATATGATGATGATAATAATAATAATAATTAAATTATTATGATGGACTATCCAATTGAGAGCAAAGAGCTTTATTGAACACTGACGTGCCCAGACTTAAGTTTAAACAAACTATGCAGCAAAATACATTTTGGAAAGAGCAGTACAAAAAGCACAAGACATACACCTCACACATATTAATACCGAGCACAGGGAACAACAGTTACATGTATTTAAGCTCAATAGCAACTTCTGCTGCCAGAATTTTTCTAAAGAAAGCTTACAGCCTATCAAACACACCAGCTCTGGCTGTCTACCAGGCCTTCAAGCACACCATTACAGTCAACCTAGCTAGGTTAGCTATTTGTTAATTTCAATTGCCCATATTTCAATACTCAGATTTTGTTTCATTCATATCGTGTTTGACAGCCAAGTTAAGTGGCTTGCCTCTGTGAGCTATTGTTTAAGTCAAGAAATATGGCAAGTTAACAAAGAAAAAGGAGAAAATATCCTTTACAGAAAGGGCAGGTTCCCCCCCCCCCAAAATAGCCAGTTTCAAGACAGCCGCACCTCAAGGATCTCCACCATGAATAATGTAATGAAATAATGTAATGCAAAGAATATTGGAATGTTTTGCTGACATACCACTACACCCATTTTTTTAAAAAAAAATGCTGTTAAGTTACCTCCACATCTGAGAGGAGATGAATGGGGAGTCTCAATGTACTTCCCACAATTAGAAAAGATGCCTTTACACACTAATCCCCTATTTTTGACTTATTTATCACTTTGGTGTCCTTTCCCCCGTAATTAAATCAAAACAACTGTTGACCTAAAATACAAAGAAGACATTTGAAAAAGTGTGTATGCACACAAAATCTCATACCTTGAATAAACCTTTATTGGTCTTAAAGGTGCCACTGGACTCTAAATTTGTTTCACCATGACTTCAAACATATTAGGAGTCCGCATGGTGTGGTGGTTAGTGCGGGATGAGAACTTCAGAGACCCAGGTTCAAATCAGTACTGTGCTACAGACGCTCACTGAGCGACCTCAGGCTAGTCTCTTTTTCTCCATCTAACCTACCTCACAGGGCTGTTAAGAGCCTAAGACAGAAGAGGGAAGAATAACATGCACCCGCTCTAAGTCCCTGAGGAGGAAGGGCAAGATGAAAATATCCAGTACTGGGAACAAGTTACATATCTGAAGTCACCCCTTTTCCTTCCTTCCCCTCTTTCCCCCACCCAACGTTGCCTGACTCCAAACTAGGAGACGTTCAAGTTGGGCGCTTTCACACAGACTAAATAATGCACTTTCAACCCACTTTGCAACTGGGTTTTACTGTGTGAACTGGCAAAGTCTACCTGAAAACAGTGGCCTAAGTGGGTTGAAACGGCATTATTTATATATATAAACTTCAATAATAAATAAATAAACATTAAAAATGTAGTGCAATGTATGCAGTAATTACAATAAAAAATTGAAACTGCAAGAGTCAAAAAAAGGAAAAAGAAACTGCATTATTTAGCATGTGTGAAGGCACCTTCTTTCAAAGAAAAGCGGGCGTTTACCACTAACGCCCTGCGAGGAGGAAGAGGAGACCCTCTTGCGACTTCAACCCCTCCACAGCAAAGCTCCCTCTAAGCTGTGGCGCCCTGTGAGCGAAACTCCTCCTTCGTGAGCTACTGGCATCAAAAGTAGTGAGCGAGCGATTGGGCTGCTGCATAAATCAGTTTTGCTCTGGAGCCAGCCTTCCCGAGACAAGACAAAAATGTGTGAGCTGGAGGCTAAAAACTTGTGAGCTGGCTCACACTAACTCAGCTTGGAGGGAACGCCGCTCCACAGCCTCCTGGTCTAAATCGAGCGGAGAGGTTGCCTTTCTGGCTATTCCCGGAAGTGCGCCTGACCGCGGGCTGGGGGGGAAGTTAGGCGAAGAGAGCCGCGCGGACTGTGAAGACCCACGCCTCGCCTCGCCTCCTTCGGCCTCGCCTCACCTCGGCCCTGACGAGCTCCGGCCCCTGAACGGCCGGCTGCTGCGGAGGCGGCGGCTTCTGCTGGTCCTGCTGAGGCGGCGGGGGAGGCTCTCGCTCCTGGCCAGTCTCCGGCTCCAGGGAGGCGAAGGGCGCGGCGGCCACGAGGACCAGGAGCAGCCAGAGGAGCGGCCGCGGCCGCGTTGGGCCCCCCATTCCCGGCACCGAGCCGGCCTCGTCGCTACCACAAGAGGCGGCCGCTCTCGGCCATGGCGCCTCGGCCAAACCCCGCCTCGCGCTCCCCCTTTGCGCCACGGCACAAAAGCCTCCCAGGCGCCCGCCCCTGCTCTCCGTCCGCCTCCCTGATTGGCGCTTCGTCACAGGGTGGTGGAGACTGACAGGCTGAGGCGCGCGCCTCCCCCCCCCCGGTTGGAGCCAGAGGGAGGTTGGCCGGCTCTTCCGGGAAGGAGGAGCTTCTGGATG